GCTAAATTGGCTTCATTCCGCCGAAGGGTGAAAATTCATTCCTTGGCAGCGCGAGGCTACATCATGCCTGTCAGGGTGCTTTGAGTTACTTGGCTGCCAGCAGTGAAGGTACACCGATTGGCCCGCTGGTGTTTAGCTCGCTATCGAGGTGTCAGCTGATTGGCAGTGTGAAAAGAGGGCGGGGTAAGCGGCACCACTGGACAGAAAATAAACGCACGTCAGCCATCCTTTGCCTCCAAGCGTACACGAGACTTTTATATGTAGCCGAGTATAAATGCTGGCCAGGCGATGTCTGCAACTGGGGTACGAGAAAAGTCTTGAATTCAAATGTAAATGAATTACAAAAGAGACTTGGTTGCCATTGATTTAAAATTCAAATTTCCTTCGGTTATGAGTAAAGAATACAGGGAAATTTTGGTAACTTTGATATTTCTGAGATCCACATAAAACGGAGTGAGTGGCATGCGACATTTCACAATGTGTCTGCTTCAGTGTACTGTGGAAACTCAGCTGGGCTTAAGGAACTGAAGATTACTGAGCTGCAAAATTACATTTTTGGACTGAATGAACATCAATGAAACAGCTGCCCCCATACCTGAAAATGAATAGCTATTGTTCTATATGTTACCTGTTATAAATTTTACAGCAAAGTGGAATTGTATCACTTTGAAAGACCTTCTGCAGTGAGATGTTAATCTTTTAAGGTCATGTATTAGATTGGGTTAGATGTCTAGGCAAGGTTCATTTTTATAGATTCTAAAGATTTTACCCCCCCCCCCCAAAAAAAAAATAAAATAATGAAAAATACAAAACATAAATTAGTGATATTAGCCTTTGTTGCTTTTACCTTCTAGTTTAAAAGAACACATAATTAATACTGTTTTGAAAATCCCATATATGGAACTGTAGTGGGGAAAAGGGTATTTGATTACATTATCAATGCAAATTAGTTGCAATTAAAGTAGAAAGAGCTACAGAATTTTAAATACTGTCCAGGGTGTTCTTTACCATCTGCTTCACCATAGTTAGATGTATGGATGGATGGATGGATGGATGAATGGCAGCAAAAATTCTCCTTTGCCATTAAAGACTGGGAGAAAATATAAACAGTGTTATCCTAAGACAACTGAGGAAGAAGCCTGAAAAAAACATATTTAATTTCTAAGTGGATATACCAGCTATACGAGACATAGGCTGCTTATTTGCTTTTATTCTGTACCTTGCATAAATTTAAATATTTAAATACAAAACAGGTTACAGTATGTGTCTGCAGACACCGGCAACAAAGACAAAAACGAAAGGCTGAAAGATGCTGTTTTCATAAATATTTCGACCTCAAACCACCTTTTGCCAAAATGACAAACTTGAGTCTAAAATACGAAATACTCTGGTTGAGTATTTCACTTTGCAGTAGAACCAGAAGCTGCACATATGTTTGTGGACGATCGTAAGTAGTCCGGCAGCCTTTTTGAAAAGTTGCGCTAGCTACTGAATATTTGATTACATGGGAAATAACTATATTTGAATATGCAAAGAATAGAGCAGTGTATAATTTTCCTGGTTACTGTGTTGCAGACAGATTAACACTGCGCATTGCAGTCATGTTTTCATATGAACACATCTTACTTATTACCTATATTAGTTGAAGTATACCATAAAGTTTTTATATTATTGTTTCTACTTAAAGACGTTTTTTCTACTGACATCTTACAATTAAATACATTTCCGGATACCTCTCCCTCCACCCAGATTTAGAGAAAATATAAAGTTACAATAAGGCTCTCTTTTGCCACTTATAAATTGTAGTAACTCATTAATAAAGAATAAAAACTTAGATAGATAAACTTTTATAGCTTCTTTATGGCAATCATTGTTTATTGATGATTTGCTAAGTGTTACAACTTATCGTAAAATGGTACCAAGAATTACACGCACGAACATTATGGCCAGTGTGCACCTCCTCCACCTTCTACATGGCATCCCTTAGTATCAACAGACGTATTTCACCAGGGCCCAACACCAGCTCTTCCGTGACACTTGCCACTTCTCCAGCCAGCCCCAGGGGCTTCTGGGTATCCTTGCCTGAAGCTGCTGGTGGACTTTAAGTTCTGCGCCGCTCGAAATGACAGAGCTTGCTTTGCGGGATTTCTTGCCGCCGCTTAAGCACTTAGTGCTTCTGTGGTGTGACTCTTACACTTGATCTGTTAAGGGCTTTAGAGAATTTTGGTCTGGAGTGATTTTTTGCTACAGTTATATAGCTAAAGCGTTTGCCAGTGGCAGTCTGGTTATGTTAGTACATCGATTAAAATTTGACGGATTTTATGCACACCCCAGCCACTATGGTGATTGTAGGACTCTGCTGCATCCTTAGATTTGTTGTTAGCTTTGTCGACATACTTTGAATCCTTTCGCAATGAACTGCCTGCACTCTTGTGTGTTTTTGTAAGTAGCGCAGTAAATGCGACGAGATGAACATACAGAAACGACCCGTGCGGCACACAGATGCCGCTAAAAACATTGTGAATGCTAACAGGAAGTTGAGCGCTTGGTCTTGGGATTCAGTTTCCTGCTTGTGTTCTGGGTGGAGCTGTGTTGCCTTCTGTACACCCACTGCACCTCACACATCCATACTCTGTGGGGAGGCTGCGGGGCTTTTGGTGGAACTGGGGATCAATGACAGAAGCTTCTCAATAGGAGAGTTACCATGCTCCTTTAAAAAGGCCCAGTAATTCATGCTGGTTTCTTTCAGGAAAAAACACAGGCTCTCTTCTGTTTAATTAATCAGTTTAACAACACTGTCTTTTGATGCAGAAGTAACGGCTAAGTCCTGGATCCTTTTCAGTTCCGTTTCATACTTAAAAATAAATGCCCTCAACATCGACGTCATATAGCTTTGAAAACAAAGGAGAAATAACATGGCTGGCTTTAACTCCTTACCAAAGCTATTTCTTTCAGATACATGAGATTCTTTCCGCATAATTAGCTAATAACTCCCTTCACCCCGCTGTTCAAACACCTAACTCAAGACAGAATCCGCCGTGCTGAAAAACCTCATTTGGAAGTAAGTGATTCTGGCAGCTTCTCCCAGCACTGCCGCTAGCCTCCGCAAACACTGGTCTCTGAAACTCACCAGCCACGGCAGTAATGTCATGTTTACTTTGAAGTATTGCATTAATTAGGATCTCCCAGCTTGTGATTTATTTACCGGATTTACTTAACGAACAGTGAATTTAAATGATTTCGTTAATTTGTGTTGTGCTTCTGTAGTGGGAAACCATAACATATCAGGGGGTTAGGGGTTTCCGGAGTGCGAGTCAGGTGATGCAGCTTTGCATGCTGATTAGTTCCACCTGTCCTTCTTCCTCCGTATTGTGCAGAATGTGTCCCTGTCCTGCTGCTCCGCTTTTCAATTTCAGCCACCGCCAAAATGCCAGTTTTTTATTTGTAATGCAGGTTTCTGGTGTCCTGTCTGGTCTGCCTACCTAATCCCAGGTATCCATTACGCTGGTTTCCTCAGCCCCTTATCATGACGGCTTCTGTTCACTGTCCTGTACACAGTCTGACTGTGTATTGTTTAGAGCTCTGTTTAACTGGGCATTAAATATGGCCATACATAACCCATAATCAATTTCTCTCTGTACCAAATGAAATTATTTACAACAGTGCTTTCAACCTAGGTAAGCTAGTTCATTCCACTCCTTCTCCTGCTTACCAAACTCATCCAGTTGTTTTCCTCTTGGCCTGAACTAGTTTGGGCTTTTACTAGTACACATCCTGTCAATTAGTTGTTTTAATCGTACCAGCCATACATTTGTAGTGCTTATGCGATGCTAGTAAGATATAGAAATGTTTGTTCCTTTGACCCTATTCTTTTACAAAATGGGATTTAAATTCAGAACTTTACATCCCCATGTAGTTCATCTATCCTTCCATTTTCTGACCCCCATGTCCCGTTCAGGGTTGTGGGGGGTCTTGGAGGGCTTGGGCAAGGCAGGGAATGACCCAGAATGGGGTGCCAACCCGCCAACGGGCACACACACACTCACACACCATTCCGTCACACACACACCTACGAGGGGAAACTGGAATACATGGAGGAAACCTCACGACAAAATGGTGAGAACATCCAAACTCCGCACACATGGAACCCCAGCAGAGATCTGAACCCAGGTCCCAGAGGCTCCAGCCCCCCAATTCAAATTCACTATGTTGTGCCACATTTTGTGTAATTGTTGACTTTTAACCACTGACCCTGGGTATACTGTTGGAACCTGTGTGTGTGTGTGTGTGTGTGTGTGCGAGCAGGTATACCTTATGGGGACACAATGTCCCCACAACGTGATGAATATGTACCTGTTTTTTTTTTCCCTTATAAGAGAAAACTCAATTTAATAAAAATCTGAAAACTAAAAATGCAAAAACTCTTATATCCTCCTGAGACCCAAGGAAAAAACTGTCCTTCAATTTTAGGTTATTTGTCTTTATATCTAGGTTATTATATCTGGAGGATATAAGACATCTTAAAATTTAGATATTTTCAAATTTATTTTTATTTTTAATTTCACAGCGTGTCCTCAGTAGTGTACAACTGGAATAAATATGTTTCCTTACATCAGTGAAAAGATAGATGCAAAAACAAAATGTCCACTACAATGGACATAAATGAATGGCTGTGATCTCAGGAGGATATATTGTTTGGTTACTTATGGTTATGGTTAGGGCTGGGTAGGCATTATGGATGTCTGAGTTAGCATTAGCATTTTTCCCATAGAAATGAATGAGCGGTCCCCATAAAGATATGTTTACCCGACATATGCGTGTGTGTGTGTGTGTGTGTGTGTTTGCCCCACTGCAGTGCCGGTGACAGCTACCCTCTGTGGTTGCAGTAGACACTTTAGATGTCGCTCAGGCTATGCATGGCGATGCTGAGGACAGCTAGCTGAGCTTGCCCGCTTGCTGCTCTCTGAGGAATACCAAGCCCAGCTGCTTTATCTCCACAGCCCATGGGAGCAGCGAGGGCCCAGTGGAGTAACTCCTGAGCCTCGGCAAGGGTGGCATATCCCTGGAGTCCGATGCCCGTCCAGGCCTGATCTCCGTGAAGTTTGAACCTCCAGCAAGGTAAGTCCGTAAAGCATTGTGGCCCTGTAGCGGTTTTGTCATTGTTTTTACATCTCTCACTGTACCAATGTAATACTTTACGAATTAACTATGTGTGTGTGTGTGTGTTCCTCATAAATCACGAATAGAGCACTTTCTTAGTCTTTGATGACAAGTCCTATGAATTACTTGAAGAGACTGTGAGGTTAAAGTCGTTATAGCCTTAGAAGTTACCAGAAGGGGTTGACCATCATTATTCCTAGAGTATAATGATACATAATGGCCTATAATGACCATCAAATGTCTGAGAAAATCCGTATGAGGATAAACTCTGCGGTAATTGATATTGACGATTTCAGGACTGCATGTTCATTTTTTCTGGAAAGTGTTAAAGAGTAGCTTTGTTTCTGATATTTTCAGATATTTACAGGTATAATCAGAATGTTCTGATAAGTGTATCGAAGCTATTTTGTACAGCGTGTTTCAATGACTCTTGTTACTGCACCAGCTGCCTGAAAACTGCTACCCCCACATGCACTAAAGCAGGGGCGGGGCACCTGTTCCATGGAGGGCTGGTGCGGGTTTTTGGGATGGCCTCTCCATCAGCCAATAATAAAACAGTGGTTCTCAACTCCAGTCCTGGAGACCTATTCTGATTGGCTGATTGAGAGGCCGTCCCAAAAACCCGCACCGGCCCTTCATGGAACAGGTTCCCCACCCCTGCGCTAAAGTGTCATAAACTAATGCTCTGATCGGCTCCCTACTCTGCCAGCAAGACCTTGCTTCCCTGGACCGGGTGAATCGCATGAATTTTATACATTTGCAGCTTGATATTTACTCAAGAAACTCAGGCTAAGCACCTTGCTGAACACGGCTATTCAGCCCCAGATCCAATTTCTCCACCAACCGTGATTCTATCAGTCATCGAAATCTGACAACAACATATTTTGCAGAGATGAAAAAGTGCATTTCTGGGTAGTGGCAGATTGTTGTCTTTCATTCCAGGGAAAAGTAACAGTACTTGCGGTTTTGCTGTAGAATAGGCAAAAAAAATCCTAAGTTCACAAAAAGTCTCAGGTTTACAGTAATTTTCAGACTATTAAAGGCAAATACTGTTTTTAATGGATCAATATAGAAACAAAATTCATAGACTGACTGGCAGCTCTGTTCCTTTGCTACAGAATAAACCTTCCCTTCCCCCAACCATGCATTCTTCAGGGATGAAATATCTATACCTTTGGGACGTACTAGAGTTGCAACACCGATAAAGACTGAAGAATTTACCTTATCTCCTTTCAATTTCCCACCTCATTCTGAAGGCTACCACTCAACCTTCCATCTTAATGAGGCTTTTCTGCAGTTTTTTTTTTGCCCCACACTGCTTCTGGGCGCCAAGATGGCGATGTAGAGTTAGCACGCGGCATTTCCTTCGCCACATACCCGCCCGCTGCCAAAAGCCTGCACACAAGAGGAGGGGAAATTTCACAGACCCCCACCCTCTTGACCTGCCCAAGCTGGTGGAGCTCATGTGCCAGCATGTAACAATTGTCCTGCTGCTGCTGGAGCCAGGAAAGAGCAAAGGGTAGCTTGACCTCCATCACATTCTCACCGACTGACAAACATGGACCGCGCATCCCTCGTTCCCCCGACAAGCTTATAAACGCCGAACAGATTTGCGTTTAGACATTTTGCCAGGACCCCACTGTCCACTTGGCAAAGTTTAACACGGACTATCCCATAGCCCCTAAAACAAGACATGCGTGCACTTTGTCCAAATATTCATAGTTCATAGCATTAAAGACATTTCGAATAGCCTCAGTCGGTGGTAATTGGCCGTCCGCTCAGGCCACAAACGGAGACACGTGGGAATACACCACACCTAAGGCCCGGTAAACCTTTCCAAATACGGGGGATTTAGTCCACATTCTGAAAAACAATCTGCTTCCCTTTCTGGCAGAAGGCCTGATGAGCTAGCTGACTTAAATACTCGATTTCCCAGCTAAAAGAAGTCATAAACCTGACACGATAATGAAGTATAATTTTACCCTTCGTACAAAGGCAGACAGCTGCGTTTCAAAGGTGTAATATACTGTAGGACAGTGCGGTGATTAGGAGTGAGGTTGTCATGTGTCATGTACCCAAATGTGTGCTGCCTTTCAGGCTAATGGCTAGATGACATTAATGATATGAGTGGGCGCATATAATGATACATTTGGTATGAGGTAGAAATTGCCACATATGATGTTGGGAACATCACCAGAGATTTTTGCACATCCATCTATCTCTTCTCATTTCTATAACTTATTATCTAATAAATGGATATGATTAACATTGAGTCTGTCCCATGGGACCCCCTGGATGTGACTGGGCTGGCAGGCAATAAAAATGCATTCGTATATTTTAATGCTGTAACTGCAATTCAAGTATAACATATTGAACGCTTTGACAGTGGTTGGATTAAGTGGGATAAACCATTGCCACAGCCTAACCAGTTTTGTGTACATTTTTTAATCGTATATCTAAGGCAGTTAAGTTGTGAAGCAGTTAAGAAGCCTTATCACAATTTGGTTTATTTGATTAAAATATGGCATCGGTCATAGTTAATTTTGTCTGTAAAAGCTTATCAGGAATATAACGACATTAGTTTTACCCCTTGCATGATGAAAAAGATGAAAGAACAATGTAGGTATGGTCAGGATTTGCAGTATGGCAAAAATAGATCTCTACATATTGGAGATGTGGTCTTACTGTATGTCTTTAGTTTTTCATAGGTTTTATACCATTTCATACCTGCTCTGTTTTTGTTAGGTACAGTTAATCCCTCTCTAATAGAGCATTAGCTCAGATTTGTCACATGATAGTTGTGATTTCACAGTTCAGAGTTCCGATTCTGTTTAAAATACAGGTCGCCGACATATGACCTATGCGACTTATGACTGATCGACTTTACGACTGTTCTGAGACCACAAGTATGTGGCCATGACTGTACCCCGTCTGGTACTGCTACTGTTGCCCAGCGTGAGTGTATGACAGTTTCCACCCCAACTGCCGGCAGCAACGAACGAAGAAAATGGAGATCAAAAAGCGAAAAATAACGTCAAACAATATGACTTAAATTTTACTATACAGTATGCTAAACATTTGATAATCTTGCATGTAAAATAAAGGGCTGACTTACAACAAAATTTACTTACGACCGGTCAGTCGGAACGGATCGCAGTCACAAGTTGACAACGACCTGTACTGAACGTTGTACTGCAATGTTTCACTGTAAACATGTAGGTATGCTTTTTATTTTGGATACTGCGGAACCAAACTAGGTTGGTGATTGGTCATGTGCCATCTGCCTTACTTGGAGCAGGAATGCTCTCAGAATGCTTACTTTTGATTTATACTTAGGAATTCCTACGATGATTTCTGCGACTGGCTATTTTGTTTATTGCTAAATATAAATTATATCTTAAATAACAGCTGTGGCAGGTGATGAATAGGATACATGAGAATGTGGATTTAAAAACATACATTTATTCCAGAAAGTTTGACTGAAAATCTTAAAAGTAAACAGCTTTTATTCAACCTTAAAATGGACCACTTACAGTTTAAGTTAGCACTAAAGCATTTTTAAGTACCATGCTTGAAGTACTAAATCACCATCATACAGGAATTGATTATTATATAAATTTAACCATCTATCTCCTTCATTACACTTCATATATATTTTGAGAGCATTGATTTTATGTGATATAAATTTTCCGATTGCAAGTGTCTGGTGCTTATTGAAACAGTTCTGATAAAAAAAAGCATGCTAATTTATGAATTATCGTTAATAACAATTGGAAAAAGACAAGTTACAGATCCTTGATTTTCCATAATATCCTTTTAATTCTTTTAGTTATCATCATCATAATCATGCATAAAATGAATTTATAGCAATGTGTCATATTTTGTATAACAGCATATGACGTGTAATACAATGTTTCTGATTTATTAACTCCCACTAAAATTTAATTTAATAAGTAATTAAAAATTTTGGAAAATTGAAATTTAGATCGTACTTAATTAAAGGACAGTTTGCAGCTGGGAGGGTCATAAGGAACGCCACTGCAGATTGAAAGCTTTTCACCAGGACGCCATAGCGACTCACTGGCTAGTCCTTTAGCATCATACGTCAAGGGCTTTCTGTGTGATTCCTGTGACCCTGCAGCTGGATTAATTGCTAACTCTAAAATGCCCATTGAGTTTCCTGGTATTGGTTCCTGGCTTAGGGTGACAGTATAATGAATAACTAACATGGAAAACAGATGGGGGTATTTTTAGGGTGCCAGACAGAATTAGATTTGCAGTACCTAATCCAAGACACATATTTATCAAAGTAGACATTATACACATCATAGATTTGACATGATGTAAATATGGTCTGATGAGTCACGTTCTCTGATATATCATGTGGGCGGCTGGGTCCATGCACATCATTTACCTGGGGAAGAGATGGAACCAGGATGCATTATGGGAAGAAGGCAACCCGGTGGAGGCAGTGTGATGCTCTGGGTATAATTCTACTGGGATGTTACTTTGACACGTACCACCTAACTAAACATTGTTGCAGACCAAGTTCACCCCTTCATGGCAATGGTATTCCCCAGTGGCAGTGACCAATTTCATCAGGGTAATGTGCCCTGCCACACTGCAGAGATTGTTCAGGAACAGTTTGAGGAACATGACAAAGAGTTCAAGGTGTTGACTTGGCCCCCAAATTCCCCAGGTCTCAATCCAATCGAGCATCTGTGGGATGTGCTGGACAAACAAACCTAATCCGAGGAGGTTCCACCTGGCAACTTACAGGAGGCAAAGGATCTGCTGCTAACGTCAGATACCACAGGACACCTTCAGAGGTCTTGTAGAGTCCAGATACCACAGGACACCTTCAGAAGTCTTGTAGAGTCCAGATACCACAGGAGACCTTCAGAGGTCTTGTAGAGTCTATGCCTCGATGGGTCAGAGCTGTTTTTGGCAGCAGGGAC